ATCAGCATCCCTGATTTTCCCTCCTGGTTTGGCTTCACATCTTGGAGACTGTCTCCTGCTGATACTCTTGGACATCATTTGCTAATCTGTCTCACCTGTTCTGGATCTTGAACCTTGCAGGACTAGACATGGCTCCTGGAATTGACTGAGACTCATCCACATGGATGTGTGGCAGAGACTTTTTGAACCTGGCTCACCTTACTCCCCTGCTAGACATTGCATGCCACTCTGAATGCCGCCTCGTAGATGGAATTGCATCAGGCACATAAGTGTTAGAAAGAATTTCACATATTGCACATCTTCTTGAAAATTCAACCTGATTGAGCATGAGAAAAAAATAGTAACTTTTATCTGAGGAATGCAAGTCCTTTTACTTATCAGGCCCATAAAATATTAAAATGGCACCCCAGTCATGCTCTATGCCCCACTTTGAGCTGCGTACTCATCTCTTGGAACTGCTTGTTATTGACCTAGTAGTGCTTTACTATATTAGTATAGCCAATCACTAATCAAATCTGTAATCTTCAAACTACTGAGAATTAATGGCAGAACTTTATATCAGTTCACTCCTTGTCCCCATATTTGCCTTTAGAAACCCGGTTGCAATGGCTGCTAATCGGAATATCTATTCAGGGCAACTTGAATCTGTTTTCCTGAATTGCATCAAGCAAGCTTGGCCCGAATGAACTCTCTGCTTACATTAATTTTGTGTCAGCTTTTTCCTTTTAAGTCGACAAACAGAAGATGGGGTTACACATTTAGAGCTACAGACACGCAGTGGCTGCCATTTCCAGATGGGTGCCTCTTTGCTAGATAGTACCAAGGAGAGAATACTCACAATGCTCAACTCTTGATCATAACTTCAGCCCTGTGGGACCTTGAGAACACTGACATACATCTCTAGGTCTTAAGTTTTCCTTTTTAGAAAGTGGGGATATTAGTGGCTCTGTACTACCAGGGCTTCTAGAGCCTTTACAGCAGCATATCCTACTCAGGGATAGATGAGAGTCGGTCTCTCTTGCCCAATGCCTACCTATGAGGCAGAACTACAGAAGGTGTATCAACAGCTGTTCACTGAATGAAGCCTTATTGAAAGTGACTTTTCTCTGTGATAGCTTAGACCAGGGATCCTCAAGCCCTGGGCCACAAACCAGTACCAGTACTGGTTCATGAATTCTTAGGGACTGGGACGAACAGCAGGAGGTGAGCGGTGGGTGAGCAAGCAAAGCTTCATCTTTACTTCCAGCCGCTCCTCATCGCTAACATTGCCACGTAAGCTCCACCTCTTGTCAGATCAACTTCAGCATTAGATTCTTACAGGCGTAAAAACCCTATTGTGAACTGAGCATGCAAAGCATCTAGGTTGCACACCGATTATGAGAATCCAATGCCTGATGATCTGTCACTGTCTTTAATCACCTCCAGATGACACCATCTAGATGCAGGAAAACACTCAAGGCTCCCACTGATTATGCATTATAGTGAGTTGCATAATTATTATATATTATGATGTAATAATAATAGAAATCAAGTGCACAGTAAATGTGTGCTTGAATCATCCTAAAACCATCCCCCACAAATCCCCAATCCCTGATGCCAAAAGGGTGGGACCACTGGATTAGTCTATTGTGTCTTGCCTACTTCAATCAAAGATGGTTATTATGAAGGACAGGGGCTTGGGGTGTAGAGAACATGAGGCTGGTGGTCTGGCCTGCAGAAGTGGGGCAGCAGCCGCACACTGTGTCCTAGAGGTTTAGAAGGACCGTGAACAGGGCACAGTGTGTGTCAGGGATGCCTTTTTCTAATTCCTGCTGCTTCCTTCTCCCCTCCTGCCCATGCACTGCCAGGCACTGGAGCTGCCTAGGACCAACACCTTCCTGCTTCCAGAGCTGTGCACAAGACCAGTTCTTCTAAATTCTTTCTTTCCAGAAACCAGAAGATTTAGCAATTTGCCTATCCCTGAGATGCAAATTGGTTAAAGCTTCTTAATCCCTGAGAAGAAAACCTTTCAGCTTTTGCTCAGGATGAGGTGTCAAAGGTGGTTTGTAAATACTGCAAACTGGGCAGCAGATGCCAGAGTCAGGCACCATCTCAAAAGGAATTTGTTTAGAGGACCTCCGCTGGAGGGAGCTCTTGAGATTTTGGAACATTTGTGCCTCAGGTAAGAATGCTACTTTATTGTTTTATTCTATTTATTATTTATGAATGAGACAGATTCTCACTCTGTTGCCCAGGCTGAAGTGCAGTGGCACCACTTCGGCTCACTGCCACCTCTACCTCCTAGGTTTAAGCGATTCTCCTGCCTCAGCCCCCCAAATAGCTGAGATTACAGGCATGTGTTACTATGTCTGGCTGATTTTTGTGTATTTAGTAGAGATAGGGTTTCACCATGTTGACCAGGCAGGTCTTAAACTCCCAACCTCAGGTAATCTGCCTGCCTCGGTCTCCCACTAGGATTACATGCGTCAGCCACCGCAACTGGCCAGAATGCTACTTTAGATGTCTTCTATCTGATTTTCCCGCGTGACCAGTACTAAGAACCTTTAAATATGTAAGATGCCTGGTTGTGGCCAGCAAAGGAAAGCTGGCAGGGCAGGATCCCACTTCACTTTGAGAGAGAAAATGAAGGGGTAGGACAGCCACCGAGAGGCAGATGGAGGCCTGCGTCTCTACAGCCAGGAAGGAGGGACTGGAAGGGGTCAGGGAGTAAGAAGAATTCTCAGGCTGTCCTCTGTGGGCTTTCGAGACAGCAGCCCAGGTAAGGGAAACCACTGCCAGCCTGTTCCCTTCCTGCCTCCCACGAAGTAGCAAGCTCCTTGAAGGCAAAGACTTTGTACTTAACCTGAAATCCAGTTCACACTGATTAACACATTAAAAATGAAACACCAGATCCAGAAACCACCTGCCCTTCTAACTCCTGCCCCTCTTCAAATAACATTAAAAAGAGTTTAAGAAATGTGACTCAAGCACAGGCCTTTGCCACAGCTTTCGCTTCTGTTAGACACTGCGTCTGGTAAATCAAGAAAAACTTACCATTTACCCTCAAAACTAAACACAATCCCTTATTATGCAATTAACGAAAGCACAATTGTATGTAACACAATTATACAAGACTACAATTACACAAAAGTAATGATGCAGTGTAGATGGCAATGACTTTCATGCAATTGAATATAATGAGTGCTTGCTGGATTAAAAATTAAGGTAGCGTGAGAGATCCCTGTTGACAAATGTTCCTCGTATTGATCCACGCTTTGCAAAAGGCTGCAATGGCAGATGAAGTAAGATGCTTCCCGTCACCATTACTAAAGACTATCGGTGTGGCAACCATTCCCTATGAACTTTTATTCTCAGGTCTCTAAACTAGAACATTTTAATGAAGCACATATTTTATTACCACTTTTTCAGCAATCCAAATAGAAAAAAAAAAGAATGGGAAGAGCCAGAAAACCTGCGTGATTTTCTGATGATTCCACGCATAGTGGTATTAATGGAGAAATGTGTGTAAAGTTTCACCAAGTTGCACAGCTCAATCCGGCACTAGGAGAGACTAGGCACTGCATGGCTGATTTCTGTATTCCTCTGGTGAGGCGCCCGCCACTACTCACCATTTGTCACCCGCCTAGTTGTGGGCTGGCTGTCTTCCAATCCACCTTTCTCACTTCTTTTTGAGTACTCTTTCTGCTATGAAAGGCTGGCCACTTTCATCCATGGTTCTCACCAACAGCATGAAACCAAATCCCACTGGTACACAAAGCTCAACATGACGGGCCCTGCCCCACATCTCTGACTGTATTCACACCAGGTGCACCATCCACAGTGACCCACCATCCCTACTGAGCTATATTTTATTGAATGTAAGACACCATTAATTGTTAAGATATATCACTATTTTATATGCCACTATGGAACATAGATATTGTCAATTCAACTATTAGAAATTTCCAATGCCAAAAAAGTATTTTGAAAAGATGAAATACTTGCAATCCATGCTTTCTCCTGTTTCTATGCCAACCTCTCTTCCCCTCCCAACCTCGGCCTAGCCTGCCAGTGTCTCCTCCTTTAAGATTCAACTCAGCATCACTTTCTGAAATGTTCTTAGGGCCTCATTCTCTGGGATCAGACTAAGTTGCTGCTGCCATGTGTCTGACAAATCAGGGCACATTTCTTGGTCATTTATCTCACTTTATTGTAATGACTTATTTATTCCCTGATAAAACATAAGCAGAGACCCAGTAACATTAACACATAGGAAAGCACTGAACAGGTATTGTCCACCCATTCTGTAAATGATGTTTTGACTAGGGTGGGCAGAGCTGGGAGAATGAAGGAGGTAGGCTCTGGAGAGGAAAGAAGGGAACATGGAAACCTCAATGCAAATTCAGAATCCATCCTCTTTGGTTTTCTGCAGTGTGTCTTTGCCTTTAGAAACTTCTAATGTAAGAGGATCCTGATCCCAGGAGAAAGGAAGAGAGGAAATGAGCTTTTCTGGTCTCCTCTGGGCCAGAAAAGCAGCGGCAGGGGCAGTAAGAGCAAAACCCAGTCACACCCAGGAGTAGTTGTGTGTTATTGGGCATTCGGGCACCTCTGTTGCAGATTTCCCAGACAGTTCGAAGCTCATCTGCCTGTGCTGGAAAGGACACCCATGGTAGTGAAAAATGAAACGGTTTAGGAGAGAAGTAATTCCTTCCTCCTTTTTGCTTTACTTCAAAGTAATCAAATGTTGTTTATGCATAAAATTTTAATCCTTTCACAAATTTGTATTTTGATTTAATTTGCATATCCCATTTACTGCAAGTCAACATGAAGAGAGACTCAACTAATTTAAACCATTTTTCTCTGGGCCTGAAATCCTTTCAGAAATATTTTCCATTAGGCAACTCAATTATGTCTAATGTGGCTAATGTCAGTGGATTAGAATTTTGCTTAAAGAAACTCATATTAAGAACAGTGAGAATGGGAAGGGGGTGGGAGAACAGAGGAGAAGAGACAATAATTACCTGTCTTTGATGCTACACAGATCAATGTGTAAATCACTAAAATTCCCCAGGGAACCTTGCTGAACTGAAATGAGGTCCTTGGGCTGGTTATCAATAAAGATGAGCCTCATGCAGCCTTGGAAAGCCTTAATGGGATTTAAACATTGGGAATCGGTGAGATTGTCGGGGCACCCTGTGGGACAGAGAAAAAAGATGAAGAAGAATGCTGAAATGATCTGTCATTGCTTTGGTGACCTATTGATGGAAGACCTTGAGGTCTAATTATATTGGTGCTTTCTCATTCACAGCAGTGCATACCCTTTCATTATAAATCCTAGCATTCTCAGGGAGGGGACATAATTGGTACAAAATAGGGCATACTCAATCACCGTAGAGAAAATAAAAAGCATGGCAAAGGGAATACCGATACTGTAACATTTATCTCCTTCTGACTTTTTTCTGCCCATTGGTAAGCTATTTGTTATTCTTCTGCATGGCATCCTTCACTCATCCCAAGGAAGAAACACATTATAGCTACTTCAGAATTTTGGTTCTGTTTGAAACACATATCTAAATGCACGATTCAATTCTGAATTACACGTTCAAAGCAAATTATGCTTTGGGTAAGGATGACGGTGGAGTAATTGTCTGGTTAATTGTCAGCATTAACAGGCTTAGTTCCTGAGAAAGGTACACACAGGAGCGTAACTGGAATTTTGACATGATGTGAAAAGCAAATCCAGACATTTCGCTGGTTTTGGAAGGAACTAAGGGTTTAAATGCATGCAGTTTTAGGGCTGTAATAGCATATGGGAAAGGTTAACACTATACCTTTTTAAAGGTGTTCTTTAAAAATAAATTACACTGATTTAGTGTAGCTTGCAACCAGGGCATATCTACTTCTGATTAAGATGGGTATTGAGCCTTGCAGGTATATGAGTGCTTGTTCTCCTTACAAACTCCATCCCAATGGCTTTAATAGGTTCAGAGCATATGGGAATGCAAGCTTGAAACCATGGCAATAACCCATAAATAATTGGGAATTATTTCAGCCATCTCTAATAGGCAGTCACTGCTCGGCTATCCCCCAGCAGCTGGTTAACAGCTCACAGGCACACTATAAAATGAAGAGAGATACTACAACTTCTAATTGAAGCTGTAGAGAGAATTTATGTAAGTTGACTATTATTACTGAAACTCATTTTTCACCTTCCTTAAGTTTACAGTCTACGTGTGGGGCATTTGCTTAAACACTGTTCAAATCACCGATAAATCTTCACCTTCTAAACTCAGGGTCTCTTAAAATTTGTCTCTAAGAAGGCTTCTTCAACTGAGGAGGTGGAGGCTATTTTGTCTCTGAAGCATGTCAGATGCTTATCGTATCATGATTATTAAAAAACATTTTCCTCAAGAATAAATTCAAGGCGGTATTTTTCCATCTGTTGCTGAAATATTGTATAAGATGTAAAATTATGCAGTCTCTGAGGTTATCTTTGGGGACACCAACACCCTTGTTCTACAATCCTTATGATACATTTGTTCTAATCTCTGTTATTGCTGGTGGGCTGTGGGAACACAAATCTGGATTTGAATACTTGATTCGAATTCATGAGCTCTATGGCCCTGCACAAATTATTTCATCTCATCGAACACCAGTCTTATAATCTATTAAGTTGGGATATTACCTATTGCACAAAGTTTCTGCATGAATTAAATGAGATAAGCCATAAATCTTTTGCGGAGACTGGACGTGCACTCCCTTAAAGGAATTTGCTGTCCATGCACAGGTGAAGGAGATTAGAGGTAAAAGTCCCAGGCCCTTCCTCATCCTAAAACCAAGCCACAAAGATATTGCTTCCCTCCTAGGAGGTCCTGATATGTACACTGAAGCTGTGCAAAATCCCTTTTGCATTTTAAAGCTTTAACTACATTCAGTTGGTATGACAGATGTGTTCTGTACATTCTACTTAAGAGACTATGCATAATTTTATACTTCTCTTTAATTCACTAATAGAAAAAAAAGGAAAGTGTAGATCAGACCCTGACTTATATCTATAGGAGCTGGAGTCAGTTTGACCACCCCCTGCCATGTGGCACAATCTGTGCTATATGTTTAAACCTTGGTCTTACTTAACTTTCCAGAAATTCTGAAGGTGAGCATATTTTGCCATGTTTCAGATTAGGAAGTTTAGAGACTATAAGTATCTTTCTCAAGGTAAGACAGCCATTGAGGTAAAATTCTTTTCAGACATTATTTCTATAATACAAACACCTGATTATGAAATTAGATATTAATTTTTAATGGAAAAAATGCTTTTGAAAGACTATATATATATATATACATATATATATACACATATATGTATATACACACATATATACATATACATTTATATAAAATCAGTAGATGCCTAATGATATGTTTTCTTCATCATCAGCTTGCCCTTGTGTTTTTGTCATTGGAAAGGGTCCCAGGATTCACTTAACATCAGAGTAGGCAGAATATGAACAATCTGAACTGGCTTCTACATGTGGAGCTACAAGTTCACGGGCATCCTAGTTCTTCCTCATTCCTGGCTCTCTGTCAGCATGGCCTCTAGGGATGTGGAGAGGGAGAGGACAGGGGACTAAGACAGCAAAGTGGCAGAGAAGTAGTCTAGGTGCTGAGCATGCTGATTGTGCCTTTCCACCTGAATTTTGCCTATTGCAGGTACTGCTGACTCTTGGTACACTTTCTCCAAGTTTTCAGCTGAGTTTCCCCTTTCCAATGTGATCACACGGCTTGGCATGGCTACAAAAAAAAATCTCCATTGGATGTGTTATATAACACCAGCTCTTGTAGCTAAAGTTCTTCTCTTCCTCAGCACTGACCCAGATAATGTATATTTGCACACAGCTGTGAGAGATTTTGTTTCCCACTATTTTGAGATTGAGGGTGTGTGTGTGTGTGTGTGTGTGTGTGCATGTGTGTGTGTGTGTGTGTGTGTGTGTGTGTGTGTTGGGAGAACTGTCTGATTGACCAAGCCACAACCATCATAGTGAAATAATTGCCCACTTCCTTTTCCCTTCCCTTTTTATTTTCCCTCTTAAAGTCTGCAGAATTTACCTCCAAAGTAGTAGCTATTTCCAGAATAAATCTGCACCCAAGTGCTGTCTGGAGCTGGGGGTGCTGCTTCATTATCCAGAGTGAGTGTGATGCGATTCCTTCTGGCGTTGATGCTAACCGAGTGCCACAAGCCATCATTCAAGTTACTGCCTGCAAGAGAAACGAGAGAGCAAGCATAGAGATGCTGGGTTTAAAAGTTTAAAAACAAAAGGGAAAAATACAAAATGTACATACCACAACCAAAGCCATGTCACATATTCTGATCTATTGTTGTATAAATGCAGAGGAAAAAAAAGAAAACAGAAAAATAAAAGAACTCCACATGCTACCAGCAATTTTTCTTTGAGTGGTAGAGTTATGGGCAATTTTGATTTTCTCATACTTCCCTACAAATAATTTTAGGAAAAAGTAAACTATTTTTACAGTAGATGGGGGAAGCTGGATTCCAGTGATGTACCAGGCAGAGGCAGCCTCCTGTTGGAGAGGTAACACATTAATCCAACTGCAGCATTTTTCATACTAATTAGGTGACACCGCCTAAGTTACTCGCCTTCACTAAGCTCTGATTTTATCATCTGTAAATACTAGAATTCCTACTGCTTATCACTGTTAAAGAAGTCAAATGAGAAGGGGCAGGACATTCTCTAGGGGCACCGGGAGAAAGGTAGTGCTTGCGTACAATTCTTTTCTCTTCTGTTCCATTGTTACAACTGTCTTTGGTGTACCCTGTACTGCTGACCTACCTTACTGAGAAAACTGTATTGGGAACTAGTCATGAGGTTTCAACTATTTCCTCTAAAGAGTTTATCAACTATTAAGACTGTCCTGTCGTTGCAAAGTGCTTGCTGAAGAAAAAAAAGTCATATTAACTGACTGGGTCACAAAGACTTGTCTGTGACAAGAGCATACAGCCACGCAACCCTAAACTCTAAACAGTCAGTTATTGTCCCCTGTTACATGCTGAGTTGTCTTTCATCTCAAGGTGTCAGTTTCCTCACTTGCAAAGCGGACAATGATTGCACTTACAGGCTATTGTGAGGATTACACCAGTTAGTCCAGCAGTGTATGCAGAATAACTCATGTCAGCCATACGTGGGCAGTCGCATTAGCTTAAATAATGAACAGAGCTGCAAATACAAAATGGTCTTTGGCATTAGAGAGTATGGATATTAACATCACATGATATCTACACTGGGGTAGTCCATTGTTAAAAGGCAGAGGCATATACAAGGAGGATTAAAATAACGTCTTTTGAGTTCGGGCTAGTGGGGTAGACAGAGAAGCAAATACCATCACCTCTTGCAATTCTGGGTAGAACAGCAATACGTGAGCAGGGAAGACAGAAAGCCTAACTAACTCCATATGAGGATCCCAAGAATGTTTCACAGAAGTGAGTGACAGTTCAGGGAGGTTTTGGAAAATGAACAAGGTTTGTAATTTACAGAGCAAGAGTTCCAGGAAACAGACAGAAAAAAAGAAACAATGGTCTGGGCTGAGAAGCAGGAGATGACAATATGAAGGCAGCTGGAAAGAGAATCGAATCACCCAGGGTCTCACATGCCAGGCTCAGGAGGACTTTAAACAATATTATTTGACAAATCATTCTGGAAGGCATTTTCCCCATACCAATTCCATCAGAATCTCTGGGGATGGGCCCTGGGCAACTGCATTTTTAAAAAAGCTCCCTGTGTGGTTCTAATATGCAATCAAAGATGAAAATCACAGCTTTAGAACATGGGAGTCCATGAGGGCTCTTTAGGATGGTAAAGTCAGGATGGGAGGTGTTTATTCACAGCTAGCAAAAGAGCCAATGATAGGAGCTGGGAGGAGTCAAGGCTGGAGGCAGGACTCTCAGGGCCTATTGTTTGCAGAGTTCCCATGAGGCAGAATGAGAGGATCTCACCTAAAGTAGCAGCAGTGAAAATGCAAAGCAAGTGATATAGATCCAGAGCAATTTCTCCAGGTAAAGTAGACCTGCCTTGGTAGATCCTTCTGGAGCAGCCCCAAAGTAGCAAGTTGGGAAGAAAACACTGACAATCACCGCAGAGGCATGCCAGACCCTCAGGGTGGCAAGCAAAGAGATGGTGCCCTGAGCTGAGCTCAGATGGCTGGAGAGGCTGCCTTGGGGGAAGTACAGCACCAGGCTTGGAGCCCAGCTGTATTTGCACCTGGGCAGCTGTGACCCATCTGCCCAGAGCATCCCAGATGTAGGAGACCTGAAGTATTTTCAGCCAGATCCCTCAGAGTCAGTCTCCACTGCAATACTGAACATCTGTTTGGGGTGGAGAGGAGAACTCAGAGGGTTCTCAGCCTGGTGGCCCCACTTTCTTTCAAAGGCAGTTGTCCTCAGACAAGACCAAGGTTTGGGTCCTGACCACAGGGATTCTGCTAATGAGACAGAGAATCTGCCAGGTGTTTCTTGGCGACAAATATTTGACTTCTTTCAGAGGTATTTGGGGAGCACAGTCAATTGTAAGTCCTTTTTAAAAACTTTCATTTGCATACTCATTTGAATATATCTGCATAACATATGGGACTGCATTTGCAGGTAAACTCTAAACTGGAAGGGAGTTAGTAACTAGTTCAGAATAAAAGGTCTAAATACTCCCTAAGGGCCAAGCACCCTGCTAGGCCTCCGGGGTACAGTAGAGAAGAACGCATTTATAGAGGCCACACTGAGTGTCTATTCAATTAGGTATCTGTCATCTATTCAGGTTACAGATAGCACTGGCCTGAGGAGAGGTCTGCTCAGTGCAAGTCTGTAGATCATCTGTTCTGATTGTGGGTACTGTCCTCTCCCCACATCACCATCCATGTCTCTCAAGTTTCACACAGTGAGGGTTTGCTTGATTGGCTGTTATCTTTTTTTCTTTTTGGTTTGCTTTTTCTTTGGTTTGACCTTTTCCTACATGGTCCCCACTCCCAGCCTGGGTGTAAAGTTTAGCTCTGTGGAGGATAATTATTAGAACAATAGTTATTGATGCAGGTACTGCCTGGGGAACTTTTGAAAATACAGAACCTGGGGTGTACTCCGGGTTAATTAAGTCAGATTTCTCAGGATTGTCCCAGAACGAGGAAGATTCAAAGATCCCTTGGGATTCTGTTGTGCAGCCAGGGTCAGGAGCCACTCCATTGGAGGTGTCAGAAGAGAAAGAAAAGAAGCTGGAAAATTGGGAATTGCCCTAGAGAGCTGCCCAGGTATGAGTTCCAAGGCAAGTGAAGTGGTACATCCCCAGTTAAAAATCTCCACTTTTACCCAGTGTGCATTGTCATTTCATTCTGTTAATGGACCCAAAATAACATCTCTAGAGACTCAAATACTCTCTTGAAGTTACTAGCAGAAGTTATATTAATTATTCACAAATCAGGGAGAATACACCCTATCAGATTGCTTTTTCACCAAACCTCCTTCAGATAAGTAGCTTTGAAAGAATAGACTTGTCCAATGAGGAGAATAGGAAAGCAACACCTTTGAGGACAAGAATGTCTTGATGGGGGAAAAAAATTCTCCTAGGGGAGAAGAGTAGGTTATTTAGGGCCAATATGGGGCATTTAGCACCCCCATGATTTAGGGACCAAGGCTTAAAAGATGGGATTTGGGTTCTAGAAATGGATAAGGACAGACATACAATTTCTGAACTTTAAAGAGATGTCAGGTATTATTTGCCATCTCCCACAATGGTAAAGGATAAAAACTGATTATACTCAATCTTAATGAATATAGAAGGAAACAGTCATTTTTTAATTTCTTTTATTGTACTTTAGGTTCTGGGGTACATGTGCAGATCATGCAGGATTGTTGCATAGGTACATACATGGCAATGTGGTTTGCTGCCTCCATCCCCCCGTCACCTCTATCTGCCATTTCCCCCCGTTATCCCTCCCCAGCTCCCTACCCCCAGCTGTCCCTCCCATAGTCCCCCCCAACAGACCCCACTGTGTGATGCTCCCCTCCCTGTGTCCATTAGTTCTCATTGTTCATCACTCGCCTATGAGTGAGAACATTCAGTGTTTGATTTTCTGTTCTTGTGTCAGTTTGCTGAGAATGATGGTTTCTAGATTCATCCATGTCCCTACAAAAGACATGAACTCATCCTTTTTTATGGCTGCATAGTATTCCATGGTGTATATGTGCCACATTTTCCTTGCCTAGTCTATCGTCGATGGGCATTTGGGTTGGTTTCAAGTCTTTGCTATTGTAAACAGTGTCACTATGAACATACGTGTGCATGTGTCTTTATAATAGAATGATTTATAATCCTTTGGATATATACCCAGTAATGGGATTGTTGTGTCAAATGAAATTTTTATTTCTAGGTCATTAAGGAAGCACGACACTGTCTTCCACAATGATTAAACTACTTTACACTCCCACCAACAGTGTAAAAGTGTTCCTAATTCTCCACATCCTCTCCAGCATCTGTTGTCTCCAGACTTTTTAATGATTGCCATTTTAACTGGAGTGAGGTGGTATCTCAATATGGTTTGATTTGTATTTCTCTAATGACCAGTGATGATGAGCATTTTTTCATATGTTTGTTGGCCTCATATATCTCCTTTTTTGAAAGTGTCTGTTCATATCCTTTGCCCACTTTTGGATGGATCTGTTTTTTTTTGTTTTTGTTTTTGTTTTTTTCTTGTAAATCCTTTTTAGTTCTTTATAGGTTCTGGATATTAGTTTTTTGTCAGATGGGTAGATTGCAAAATTTTTTTCACATTCTGTTGGTTGCCAGTTCACTCTAATGACCGTTCCTTTTGCTGTACAGAAGCTCTGGAGTTTAATTAGGTCCCATTTGTCTATTTTGGCTTTTGTTGCCAATGCTTTTGCTATTTTGGTCATGAGGTCCTTGCCTATGCCTATGTACTGAATGGTTTTGCCTAGATTTTCTTCTAGGGTTTTTATGGTATTAGGTCTTATGTTTAAGTCTTTAATCCAACTGGAATTAATTTTAGTGTAAGGTGTCAGGAATGGGTCCAGTTTCTGTTTTCTGCACACTGCTAGCCGGTTTTCCCAACACCATTTATTAAACAGGGAATCCTTTCCCCATTGCTTGCTTTTGTCAGGTTTGTCAAAGATCAGATGGTTGTAGATATGTTGTGTTGCCTCCGAGACCTCTGTTCTGTTCCATTGGTCTATATCTCTGGATATA